CTAGACGTCCATAATTTCCATTATATGCTAATAGAGGATTATTAGCAAATTTCCTCCATTTATTGAGCTGATCTCTGAGTGAAAATCTTCTGGATGGCTAGGGTCTCTAATTGAGAAGTCCTGGGTTGACTTCGGCAAATACTTCGCCAATGGATGGGAGGGGAGGTCTGCCAATAATTCTTCCTCGCACTTCATCGAACTCGATGTTGAGGCCGGCAAGAAACTTGTAAATACGGCTTTCTTCCACAGTTTTCTTGTGGTGTTTGCAGTCGTCAACCGATTTCCATTCATATGTGTTGAAGATGTCAAGATCCTGCCACAACCTTTTCAACGAATTGAAATATTTGGTGACGGAATCATCTCCTTGACGATTCTCTCCCAACTTCAAAGTTAATTCGAAAACTTGAGATTGATTTCCTAGGTCAGAATACATCTGACTAACATTATCCCACAACTCTTGTGCAGTAGTATAGCACATGTAATTAGAGCTTATATCCTCCTCCATGGAATTGACTAACCATGTCATAACCATGGAGTTTTCAGCGTCCCAACTGTCGAATAGCAGATCATTAACAGCAGGAGCCTTCTTGTCACCAGTGATGTAACCGATCTTTCCTTGCCCACGGATATACATCCGGACAGATTGTGACCAGCGGAGAAAATTATCACCATTTAGGCGGATGGTGGTGATTTGGACAGAGTGAGAGTTGGACGTTTTCACCGGAATGGCAGCGGCAGGGGTTGAAGTGGTTTCGGACGTGACTTCCGACATGGCTATGACGGTTTTAGGGCTGCTGTGTTTTTTGTTGCTCTGATACCAACTTAGAAAATATGAGGAAGAAGAACTCCGAAAAATATGAGGAAGAAGGAATATATTTCTGTTATATTCAAAACTTCTTATCTTACAAGACCAAATGACACTCCTTATATAGGAGATATTACAAACATCATTATAACCCATTATATGCCACTTACATATTATATATTACCACTATCTACTACTAATATATTATATACATGCCACTATCTACCACCAACACCACTATCACATATTCTATACATGCCACTATCTACAACCAACACCACTATCATATTCTATACATGCCACTATCCTTCACCAACACCACTATCATATTATATACATGCCACTATCTACCACCAACACCACTATCACATATTCTATACATGCCACTATCTACAACCAACACCACTATCATATTCTATACATGCCACTATCCTTCACCAACACCACTATCATATTATATTACATATTATATATTACCACTATCTACCACTAACATATTATATACATGCCACTATCTACCACCAACACCACTATCACATATTCTATACATGCTACTATCTACCACCAATACCACTATCACATATTCTATACATGCCACTATCTAATTATTAACACAAATTTCCAGCAAGTGACAAACGCAAAATTTTGTCTTTAAAAGTCATTTTTTGACTTTTGTAGAAGGGTCATTTGGGACAAACTACGCGACGGAGAAAATTAGTTGGCTAAAGTTTTTTCCAACAAATATTACACTTTTACGGACAGAATAAATTTGTCCCTAAAAAGTTGATTTCTTGTAGTGTACAAACAAATTTGTAGTTGTTTCTATATTGCACATCAAGTTGCTGAAAAACAGCGTCACTGAACCATATTCTGCTAAAAAAAAAATATAGTTAATTTTTTCAAGGAAAATGATATAGAATCACTTTCTAAATCCACTAATGTGTAAAAGAGATGATTGGATGATGATTAGAGAAAACAGGAGAGAGAGAGAGAGAGAGAGAGAGAGAGAGAGATAGTTATCTTAGATATTTAATAGTTTGCTACATCATTAGATTTAAGAAGTGACTAACTTTTAGATTAGAGTAGCACTATTTTTTCAATCATTTTGGGTATGGAATTTACTCACAAAGTTGGTGTTGTATTTATGACATGAGAATTACTTGATTTTACAAGCTTTACACGTATTTCTCCTTATCACTATTTATTCTCTAATGTTTTCATCATGTCTGACCAATTTCCATTAAGACGGCCAAAAGAGAGAAATGGAAAGGGAGAGATGAATCATTAGAAGTATTATCTCTATCAATTGCAGAGAAGAATACTTCTATAAAAGAGACTCAAATTTTATATATCAACTACCAAACAAGAAAGAGATATAGAGAGAAATAAGAAGCCAGTAACTTCTATAAAAGAGACTCAAATTTTAGTCAGTCTTACCACTGCGGCAGCTTGATTTGCAATTTTGAACAATTGTTGATAAGTTCAGCAAAATAAGAATGTCCAGTGATCGATTATTATTTTGATGTTGACTGCATGTATTCATTCCATTAGAAAAGATGTCTAGCCCAGTTGACGAATATAATATCTTATTAATTACAATACTTGCCCTTATTAAATATAGGTTCACCTTTCAAAGAAAAAGAAGAAGAAGAATAAGGAGAAGAATTAAGAAGGTAAAAGTACTAACATCACTAATTTTTAATTTCTCACTTGTCTAAATCTATTAAGACATGATGTGATTTGGTGTTGCAAATTGGTGCATAATTGTAGATTGTGTATTTGATGTGATTGTGATTTTGAGTTGATTTAGTACAGAGGTAGTATATGGTAGAGTTTTTATGATGTATACAAGCTAATTCCATTTGGGTTTTGCTTAATTTTACTATATGAAAATTGAGGGTATGAAAACACACACTTTGAAATAGACATGTGTTGTACAGCCATAGAGAATTTCTTCAAGTTGGAATGAGCTGGAATGCATGTGTTGTAGCCTTGAGTTAATGCTTTTGGATAGTTTGCTTTAGTTGGCAATAGTGGTTGGTTTCATCTGGTATTAATACAGACATGTAGAATTTCTTCTCTATTCTCCATGTATAAGCCTTTATTACACGTAATGATATATTGCTCGTGTGGACATATGTGTTTTAGAACATTCTGATAATGTTCCAAGCCATATAGGTGATTTTCACTGAGCTGGCCGTTGTTTTCGTGCTGAGAAACCTGTGTTATCTTAGGAACTAAATGCTTTGTGTTCGATGTGGAAAACTTTCCATTTTAAGTAATTTGTGCATTAACTGAAGTAGAATATTTTGTGTTATATTAGGAACTAAATGCTCTGTGTTCGAAGTGGAAAACTTTCTATTTTAAGTAATTTGTGCATTAATTGAAGTAGAATATTTTATGCATTTTTTTGTACTAACGTTATATTGTAACCCCTAGGCAGTTCATATTAATATTTGGAAGAGTATTGTAATATTTTTCAGATTTGTATTTGCATTCATGTTAACATAGTAAATGCATGTTTTAGTTGCTTTTTTAACTGATGGTGCGAGATGTGTGTAGCTACTTTTCTTTTTGTGCGTGCTTTGGCATTAATATTCTTAGTAATCTTGTGTAGCTTATTTCTCTTTTTTCAGAGAAACGATATGTTGAGTATGACATGGGATTGTGTACTTTCTAATAGTTCGAAATACCCAAAGTTAATTTGACCTAATGTGACTATTTAAAATAACATTCAGTAGCTTGAACTTCTCATATTTATTATTGTTATCTATTCACTACACATCTTTTATTGGTTTTGTTTTTATTATTATTATGATTGGCAGAGACTGAGAGGATTGAAGGCCTGGAAAACAGCATGGAGAGCGATTCAGAATGGCAGTGAAGGATGGATGGGGCTTTCCTTTGAATTTTTATTTCTCTTCTTTTTTTCTTTTTTTTTTCCTTTGATCTGACTGGGGAGTTAGGTGTATTGGTTTACTTTCTTCTTATTTTTTGTATTAAATGGGGGAGTGGTGAGAGAGAGAAGGGGGTAATGTTATTTTGTGGCTTTGTATATAAGGTAGTAATTTTTTGATTGAGAATTGTGAATTCAATTTTTGGATATGTTATTTTGTGGGTTATGCACTACAACAAAACTAACTATTCACGGCATTATATTTATGACATGCATTAAATGCATGTCGTAGTTAGTACATTCTACGGCATTTTTTTTTTGCAAGCCGTTAATGTTTTGTCAATAACAGCATACATACCATGTAAGTCGTTGATTCATATATTTATCGCATGCAAAAGTATGCCGTAAAAAATGTATGTTTTTACGACTTACAAAAGTATGTCGTAAAATATTTGCACTTAAGATGACATACATTTCATGTTATAAAATCTTATAACTTTGCACGGCATGTATTAACATATCGTGAAAGCTTTTGCAAAAAAAAAAAAATTCAATCCGATTTTTTTTTATGGCATGCAAAAGCATGCTGTAAAAAATGTATATTTTCATGGCATACAAAAATATGTCATAAAATATTTGTACTTAAGACAATATACATTTCATGTCGTAAAATATTATAACTTTACACGACATGCATTAGCATGTCGTGAAAACTTTTATTAAAAAAAATTTCAATCCGATTTTTTTTTTTTTGATTTAAAAAAGCTAACAATTTCAACCAAGCTTCTCACCTTACATTTTCCTAATTGAGGACAACGTAAAAAATAATTTATATGTTATTTTATAATTTAGTGTCTCTTTTAAGGGATAATTGCACCAAGTGGAATTTTGAGATAAAAAATTACATATTCATAAAAAAGTTTATAATTTTAATAATTAATATTTATCTGGCTTCTCATTAATTTGTAATTATTTTTTTTTAAAATTACCTTGATTTGATATTTTTCCTTCTTTTAATAATTTATTTATTTTTTACTTTTTAGATGTGCCTAATCTGAATACAACTAAAAAATAAAATATTAAAAGTATGCCGTAAAAAATGTATATTTTCACGGCATACAAAAATATGTTATAAAATATTTACACTTAAGACAACATACATTTCATGTCGTAAAATATTAAATTTTATATGTTTTTTAATTTAATGATATTTTTAGAAAATTAAAAAATATTTTCCTTCTAAGTATATGTAGATTATTTGAATAAAAAGTAAAAAAAAAAATTATTTATAATATTTAAAAACTTGCTCAATGAACATTGCCCCGTTACTCTCTCTCTCGGTCTCTCTCTCTCTCTCTCTCTCTCTCTCTCAACCCTCTCCAAACCCTAATCTCTCTCAACCGATCGAATCAACTTTCTTCAGCCCCGTTTGATCTAATCTCAGAGTGATTGGTGATTCATCTCAGATCCAATCTCAGAGCGATTGGCAATTTCGATTTTGAGATTTCGAAGCTCCACCGCCTCCACCATCTGCACCGGCGATGGGAGCGAGCACCATCGTCTACTAAGGTGAGCACTACCGTCTCTCTCTCTCTCTCTCAGTTTCGTATTCTCTTTCTCTCTCTCTCTCTCTCTCTCTCGCTCTTCCTTCCCGTCGAGTTTCGTCAGATAACGAAACCAGTGCATTTTATTTAAGAATTTTGTTGTTTGAGCAATTTGCTGTATAATAATTTGTTGATGGAATCTCAATTAAATTCCACTCCAGTTTTCCTGTTTCATGTTCATGCTTCTTGATTGAATCTCAATTAGTTGTATTTTGTGTGTAGAGGATTACTATTTGTGACTAGATATTAGGAAAATGCTATTCATCAATTCTGTTTGGCGTTCACTTCAATGTAATTGTAATTTAAAGCTTCAATTTGTTTCTCTCTCTCTATCTGTACCCATTTGGTGTTGTCTGTTGCGTCCAAGTCACAGCAACCTCTTGATTTCCCTTTCGGTCTGGTTAGTTAATTATCTGATGAAATTCCTGAAATTCTGCTAAGTAGAGGACTAGTCCTGAAATTCCAAGAATTTTGCAGAGGTTCACAGAAAAATTATCTGATGCAAATCTGCAGAACTTGACAGAAGTTGAAGAGTTCATGGTGAGGATGATGGAAACAATATGTTGAAGAACTAGGTGGGAATGGGATAGAATCAATCCGTAGGGACTTGTATATGTATTGACTTTGTTGTGAAGAATCATTGTACACAGATTTATTGTAAAGAAAATTAATGTAATTTCTTGAAAATTATTGGACTGACTATAATAAATGCATTAATATATGAGTTTGCAAATTAGGGGATGAAGTGTGTGCTTGAAGTACTAGTTACTCTTATAATTGCTATCTATTAGTTAATAAGAAGCTCAAACATGAACAAGTCTGTCTCAACAAGCATCAATGCATCATGTGATAAATTATTTATGAAGCTGATAATCCAATCCTACTCAATTTTATTAAATTATTATGAACCAAAAAGTCATACAAAGTCTGCTCATGTCACCCTTTGCTTGTAAGAATTTTCTATGAGCACATGGAATCTTATAATTACGTAGATGAGGCGGTCCACAGCGGTGGGAGTGGTGCCAAGGAGCTGTAGTGTTGGGATGGGGAGGATTGATGAAGAGAGGCCTTGTGAGTTTGGGGATAACAATTACAATGGTGTTAATGTTAGGAAGGAGTTGTTGGTGTATCCTAGAAGCAGAAGTTATGCTGTCACAAAAGTGCTGTTGCCTTTTGATCCTTTTCTTTTCTCTCTGCCATTTTTCCTTTTTCCCTTTTCTCCATTTATTTTTTTTTTGTTTTAAAAAAAAAAAAAAAAAAATCAAAATTTTAACATTTCGCATTTTTCCTTTTCAATCAGATGTATTTGCATACAAATCGTGTGTGCAGCCGCAGTTAATCTATACTATATATTAAGTAAAATGAGAGTTTTTAACCTTCAAACCCTGTGGAAGCTTCCATATCTCATTCTGAATTTTCTAAATTTTTTATTTAAAAAAAAAAAACTCAGCATTTATTGATTTGGTCAAAATTTCATGATCAACATTTATTAACTTTTTTTAATCCACATGTCTTTCCATATGCCTACATTTATTGATTTGGTCAAAATCCTTTGATCAGCATTTAAAATCCCGCAGGTTAAATATCAATTGGAGCTGAGGTCATCTCTCATGTTCAGTTATTTTATGGTATAGTTTGATATGTCAATTGTTTCATCTATATATTACCCTTTTGGTACTAACTTAAGTTCATATGGATGCTGAGCATTGGCATTGTTTAGTTCATTTTATATGGGTGCTACACATGATTGCAATCCTTTATTTTTATTTTGGTTTTGTTTTGTTCTCTCCAGCATGACACACACACACACACACACATATATATATATATATATATAAGAGACCTGAAGACATTTTTTTATCTATGCTATTTCAGGGAAAAGTTCGGGCTTCCAGATATCCTAAAATCCAAACATGAGGAAAATGAAGCCTACATATCTGAAATAGAGGTTAGATTCCTGCTCAGTTATATGGGAGATCATTTTGTCTTCAATGTGTTTGTGAAGTTGGCCTGAGGTTATTGGTATTGTTTCTCTTCATGTAATTTTAAATAAGGCCTGAGATTATCAGTTGTTTCTCTTCAGACTATTGGTCAGGCATATGATGATATGCAAGCTCAAAACCAGCAGCTCCTGCAGCAAATTACAGAGAGAGATAATTATAACGTCAAGGTTATTATTTGTACCACCATTGCTCACTGTTTATTCAGGTTCCCAAACTGGTTTTACTTGCTTTCATATAGCATGCATTTGAGACCTCCTTGATTTTGTAGGTGATTATTTATTTGTTTATATAGAAGTTAGCGATTTTATGGAAGTTTGATTAAATCGACTATTTGTTTAGTGTTGGTAACTTAATTCTCATTTGTTCCCCTCTTATGTGTCTATATACACACATATATGTATGAATATTAACATTTTTGAGTTCTATGTTGATGTGTAATAATAATGCAATCTTTGAAGTGCTGATGCTTATGATGGGTTCTCACTGGAGGACTTTGTTAAAATATGTTTACTGTATGTGTTTCATTTTCAAAGATCAAAGATAATGGGTACAAAGTTCTACCCGGCAGCTATAAATTTAGAGTAGTTGCACTCCAATTCAACTCCTACATACTTATCACTCAATATCAAAGCAGTTAAGTCTTTCCTATGGGCTAGGCCTAGGATGAGATTTGGGTAAAAACAATTAATAGACTTTCAATGAGCAGAATGTATACGATGGGAACCTTTTTTATGTACAGAAATTAATGTGATATGTCATGCCATAAAGCATGCTTCATCTATGTAGATGACGGGGTATGTAATGCCATATAGCATCAACCTAATATGCACCAAGATTTCTGTGTGCCTCTTGAGTTTGGAAAACAAATTCCAAATTGCTTGAGTTTGAGTTTGAGTTTGAAAGATCTGTTATTAAAATAGCATGGTTTGGTAGAACAATCCTTTAACCAATTTTAGTACTCTATTCATTGAAAATTAAATAAACATAACTAGTAGTAGTAATAGTAAATGACAACAAATATGAGGAAAAGAATCACAAATCGTCAAAATGCAGAGCTATATGCAAGTTCAGCCCCTATCTAGAGCCAAATGCAGTTTCAACTGTTTTTCTGATCTTATTATTGTTATTACTTTTTGAGCATTGAGAACTGTGCTATAGCTTTTAGCTGTACTTGATCTTGTGTCCTCTATTCTTTTCCCTTTGATACTATCTCTACACTTCTTTGCCACGTATAAATAGGCTTATGTGTTTGTTTCTTTCAAATTTCCTTATTTAAAGGGTTGCTTTTGAGAAAATATGATCCAAATGAACAAGAAAACAATCTGATCTTTGTCTCAGTATTTTGGGGATCCAGCTAGGTGCCCTTTTGAGCAAGGTTTGGTTTTATTTTCCACATTTATGTACTTAATTTTCTGTTGCTGTCAAGTAGGGAAGTTCACTACATTTCTTTTCTATTTGATCTGCCACATGGATTATGTTAGAGATGTATCTGTATGTAGGTTAGATTAGATGATGGAAGTGAAAATGCTTACATTTTTCATTGCATGAGTCTAGCTAACTTGGTTAAGAGCCAAATTTATTGAAATATTTCTAACAGTGTTACCAAAAAAATGATAATGCCTTAGAGATTTAGGGCTTTAAGTTTATAAGCTATTGCTTGGTTTGTTAACAAGTTGCCGCACTTTATAAGCTACTGCCTTTGTTTGGATGTGCATACGGCTAGGCAAGGTTATGTTCTTGTGTGTGTGTGTATATATATATTAAAAATAACTTTCTATGACATGCAAAATTATGCCGTGAAAAGTGTAATGATTTATGGCATGTAAGAAAATGTCGTAAAAGATTATATACGGCATACAAAGTAAGTCATAAATATATTAAAAATAACTTTTTACGGCATGCAAAATTATGCCGTGAAAGTGTAATGATTTATGGCATGCAAAAAAATGTCGTAAAAGATTATATATGGCATACAAAGTATGTTATAAATATATTAAAAATAACCTTCTACGGTATGCAAAATTATGCCATGAAAAATATAATGATTTATGGCATGTAAAAAATAATATACGACATGCAAAGTATGTCATTAATGTTTAATTTATTACTTTTTACAACTTTACCTGCATGTCGTAAATGACGCTCAACTTTCCACGGCATGTCATATGACGGTATTTGTGTGCATTTCGTGAAAGAGTTTTTACAGCATGCATTGCAAGCTGTGAAAATTCAATTTTGTTGTAGTGATGGTGATTGGATATTAAATTGAATAATGTTGGATTTGCTATTTGAATGTGAGTTATTATTTCATATTAGTGCTATTCAGTTTTATTACAAGTGTTCTTTTAGTTCAATCACATAAAATTAGCACAATTTAAAAAAAAAAAAGAAGAAGAAGAAGAAGATAAGACAGCGTTTCTAAAAACGCCACTATCATACTAACGGTTGGAATTTTTAAAATTTAAAAAACCTATGACAGCGTTTTAAAACGTCACTAAACCCATAGTGACGTTACAGTATCATCATATAAAAATGAGATTCCAACCAACCTCCACCATTTTGCCAACATCTAACCACCAACAAATCTAAGGGCATTTTTGGTATTGAGACGGTGGGAATTGTTGACATTAATTTAAAAGTTAAAAAATTATTAAAAAAATTAACAAAATATATAAAAAAAAATTAAAAAAATAATTTTATTTTTATTTTTTAGTGAAAATTGTTGAAAAATCTAAACTAAGAAGGATATAATGTATTAAGTTTAGTGTATATTTTTTATCAGTGAAATATTCACATTTTGTGAAATAGTTTGGTGAGAAATCATTTTGTTAGTTTAGGAGGATATTTTGTTTCTAATTTCATCCCTTAATTTATCTGTTAACTTTTTTTTATTATCTGTTCAACTTTTTGACTATCTGTTCAAATATTTTTTATCTGTTCAATTTTTTTGACTATCTGTTTAATGTTTCCCCGTTATTTATTCAAATATCTATCCAAATTTTGTTATCTGCTCAATTTTCCCCTCTTATCTATTCAGATATTTATCCAAATTTTATTATCTGTTCAATTTTTTTCCTTAAATTCTATCTATCAAATTTTTGTAAGCAAATTTGAGTTCTCTCTGTATCTCTCTCTACAACAACATTTATCTATTGAAATTTGGATTATGATCTGAAACCAAACTTCCAACTAAGCCAAGTAAGCAAGACCTTGCACGAATACAGCTACAGGTTGGTTTTTTTTTTTTTTTTATGTGTTTTTTGGATACATTGATTATGATAGTTTTATTCTGTAATTTGCACTGCAATATTTATTGTATGTATCTAAGTCTGGCGCTGAATGGTTTATCATTGGCAATGATATATCTGTAGAAGAAAAGGAGAGATCACTGGTTTTTTATGACATCAAATAGGAATCAAAATAAAATTAAAAATAAGAAGATTTATTTTATTTTATTTTATTTTTAAGATTGATGGAAAAAAAGGACTATATATTTCATGAAGGGGAGGGAGCTGTTCTTGTGAATGCAATTGCAGCTGCAGGTGCTTTCACACAATTATTTAAATCAATTACCTTCTTTTGTCAGCCGGTCAAGATCTCCTCCAAGAAGAGAGTGAATTGTTGAGCGTGAAGAGAAGCGAGCCAGGAGCTACAGTAGAAGACCGGTGCCAAAGAGGGCTACTACACCTCCCTCCAAAACAAGGAAGCACAGCCCAACACCTGAGGAGGAGGAGGACATTGTCAGAGAGAGGGATAATACCCCTTCTCCTAAGAGAGGGAGACCGGAAACTAAGCAGGACAGGTCAGATTACAGTGAGAACCCCAGAGAAAATAGCAGAAGCCCTGTAAGGGAAAGTCCTGCTGCTGAGAGGTATCAGAGTCCTTCTGAAGCTAATTGCCGCAGCCCTACCGCTAGTCCTCGCAATGACACAAGCCCTGTTGATGACGATGATAATCATCAATCCCCAAGAGGGAGCGAGTCGCCTTAATTTGCCAAAAAAAAAAGAGAAAATGGTGTTGGAAGGAAAATAGGTATCATGCCCTCTTTTTTATATTTGCAGTAGGACAAAATAGATCTTGGGGAACTATGACTAAAACTAATACATTTGAAGGCATTTGTGCCTTTAAATTATTGAATAATGGTTTTTAAACATTACTTCATGCTACTGTCCTCTATCATGGTGTGAAGGTATTGTGTATTTAGCTTATCTGAGATATGCTCAGACTTGTTGGACTTTAGAGTACTAATGTTTTGAGTCTAGAATGCAATTGAAATGTGGCTTTTTTTGTACCCCATAACGAGTCAAAAAACTCAACATGGCAGACAGTAATGATTGTATTTTCTCAAAATTAACATCTAGGGACCTCACCAAACTCCGACCCAGATTCTTTCTCCAAATCCATTACATACACCTATTGGAGGACGGTTAATAACTATTCATAGCCACCTATTGAAGATGTGGAGGATGATGCTAATCCTAATGAAGTTGAATCTGAAATAACCCCACCACCACCACCACCACCACCACCACCACCACCACCACAAGCTTCAGCCACTTTCTCTGACCACCACTAGCTTCATTCACACTCTGGCCACCCTCCGTGCCCATTCCCTGCTTAGGTCACCCTCCCCAGCTTCACCCTACCTCCAGCATAACATACCCCACCCCCTTGTCACCTTTTAACCCCTCCCCACCCACTCCTACCACCCTCCAAACCCATACTCACCCATCCTGTCCCTTGCTAACCTTCTTCCTACCCACCTCACGCTTCCTCTCTTTTCTTGATGGCCTTCACCCCCCTTCCCTCTCCATTCTGTGACTCTTATCCAGCAGCCACACCCCCTCCCCCTCCACTGCCTTGGTCTTTGGCTTTGCCTCTGTCTCTGCTTCAACCCCTCCATCCATCTTGACAGAGAGAGAATTGCGATGCTGCATAGGTGGTTCGGGGCTGGTTGGGAAGGGGTTGAGGGGAGGTTGGGGCTAGGATTAGGGTTTTAAATGTTAGAGATGAGGGTAATTCTACTTGCACCACAAAATTATCTCCTTGCACCCTTAAAATTTAAAATTTTTATTTTATTTTCTTACAATTTTCATAATACCATTCTTATCATCTCCCTGCCCTTCCACTCTTCTCCTTACACCCAAACCATTCAAACCCTAGTTTCTTCACCTCCAACTGATATATTACTGCCGTCATCTGCAACTGTTGCCGCCGTCGCCAGCCACCATGTAAGCCCTCATTGCTACTGCTGCCGTCTGCAACTGTAAAACAGAAAAATGACTCCATTTGTTGGATGGTGGATCCCTCGGGTGGTTTTTCAGTCCACTCTCTTTATTTTCTGTCAGAATCAGGATATGGAAGTGTTTCTTCCTCTCTGAAGATGATTTGGAGTTCAACTGATATATTACTGCCGTCATCTGCAACTGCTGCCGCCGTCGCCAGCCACCATGTAAGCCCCCATTGCTGCTGCTGCCGTCTGCAACTGTAAAACAAAAAAATGACTCCATTTGTTGGATGGTGGATCCCTCGGGTAGTTTTTCAGTTCACTCTCTTTATTTTCTGTCAGAATCAGGATATGGAAGTGTTTCTTCCTCTTTGAAGATGATTTGGATTTCAACTGCTCCTCCAAAAGTCCAACGCTTTGGTTGGTTAGCGTGGCTTGGCAGAGTAAAAATCTTAGAATTACTTCTAAGGATTGGTGCTTTTTCAGATCAGGACACTGTCTTTGTGTTTTCTGTCGTGATAATCTTGATTCGTATGATCATCTCCTTCTTGAATGTTACAATGTCCGGAAAGTCTGGGCATCTATCTTAAGATGGTAGGGCTTGTCTTGGGTTGCTCCACTCTTGATCAAATCATTGATAGATTGGTGGAGGGGTTGGAAGTTTAGAAAAAAGAGAAAGGTCGTGTGGGAAATCATCCCATTTGTGGTTATGTGGAGTGTTTGGCTTACAAGGAATCAGGTTATTTTCAAAGGCTCAAATCCTATCTGAGAAGAGATTGTGGAAAAGATCGAGTTCAGAATTATTCTCTGGGCAAAATGGAAGGAGATTTGTAAATCAATCAATGTTAATTTGTCTTATTTTAAAGGCATGTTTGCCATATTTTCACTGATATTAATTTTATAAAAATTAAAAATTTATATTAAATTTTATATATATTTTATTAAAATAAAATGAAACAAGATTAGAACAGATTTATTTATTCTTTTATTAGAAATGGGAGGTGTGTGGTAAGTGTACGTGTGAGAGGGAGAGAGGGAGAGGGGGAGGGGAGAGTGGTGTGAGTGTGTGGGATCTGGAGATGCTGCTATGATAGCAATGATATGCTGTGAGTCTGTAGAGGCTTTTTTTGAGTTTTTTTTTTTTAATTTAATTTTTTAAAAATTGTTTTTGAATCCATCTACATCAAACAGAAAAAAATATAAAATTTTGACATAATTTATTATAACTTTATAACAAGAAAACATTTGTTTTTAAAAAAAATAAACGGTTGATATTATCTTGATAATTTTTGTAAAACAATTTGAATATGGTCATGGGGTTACGGATTTATGATTAACTTGATTTTTTTATATGAATGATATACTCAATGAACCGTATAATATGAATAGTTCGGATTATCGAAAAAGACTCAGAAAAAGCCTTCACGATCTCACAGCAAATTGCTACTGTGATTTAGTTACAGCAATATTCCCAGGTTTGAGTGTGTGTGTAGGGAGAGAGAGATAGAGAGTGAGTGTATCGAAAAGAGAGGAATCTAGTGGCAATGTGAGTGTGTTTTGGAAACCTTTTTTTTATTTTTATTTTTTTTAAGGAATAAATCTGAGCCGCTCATCTCTTTGTGAATGATGTGGCCAAATCTGAGCTATCCTCTAGAGGAAGCATCGGAGACAGCTACTGGAGATTATCTGAATACCATTTTATGATGGGTTTGATTAACTGGTGATTTTTGTTTTTATACGATATTACAAGTTTAAATTAATTATTCCTCCCGTTTCAAAATATTAGTTTTTATTTTATTTTGGGATAATTAGATATAATCAAAGAAAAAAAAACTCAAAATTCCATGCTTTTTCTATTTTAAATCTCAGTGTTTTAATTTCGACAAATTAAAATTTGAAATTCCTTCCATATTTCAATTTAAAAGGGTTTAAGATGAAAAATATTGGAATTTAAAGTGAAAAACGCGTGAAACCTTAGAGTTTATTTTGTAACTAATCATTTTTTGTTTTTAGTGATTTTTATTTTTAAAAAATAGTTAATTACACAAAAATTTCAAGATTTCACGTATTTTTTTTCTTTAAACCCCCTCCATTACTTTATACAAATGGAGGTCGATAGAGAGGACAAATTGGAACATAGATGGAATTTCACGGTTTTATTTGTCAAAATTGAAATACGGAGGTTTAAAGTGAAAAATGCGTGAAACCACGATTTTTTTAAAAAAATTAATCCTTTCAAATTTTATTATCTCAAAATATTAGTTTTTTTTCTTCAAAAATCAATAACTAAAATAATATGAATTTTATATTTAATTCATTAACAATAATATTTTTGAAATGTCATAATTGTACTACCCAATGATATTTTTAAAAAATTAATATTTTTAAAATGTAATAATTTCACTATTAAAAAAAATAGATTTCTCAAAATATATATTTTGAGACGGAAGGAATATAATTATAATAAAAAATAAAAATATTTTTTAGGTACCTAGTCAATTGTTAATACTAGTTTATGGATAATTTGAAAGAAATTGTTAGCTTAAGAGCATAATATTTTTTGAATAAAACTACTTCTATAATAGGGTGTTTAGCATGTACTAAATTATTATATTTTTTTAACTTTTTATGGAAAAAAAAAAAGAAATATAAATTAAATTTGAAGTGATGACAAAGAGGTAATATGACATAAATGAGATGATTCTGCCAAAATAAGATAATGTGCTAAAATAACATATACTATTTTAGCACATACCAACCGTGCCTATCTTACTTGAGAGGGTAATTTATATGTAAATTAGGCCGAGCTGGTGATGGGCCGTTCTGTGGGCCACAGTAAAAAGGGCTGAGTAAAAGAGCTTTGTAGTTAGCCTGGTCCAAAAAGAACTTTGTAGTTAGCCCAGTCCAAAAGAGCCTTGTACTTAGCTCGGTCCAAGTGAGCCTTGTATTTAGCTCGGTCACCGCTGTTAGAGTGGTGGCAGTTAGCTCGGCCATACCCTTCTGAGCCGAAGTATTTTGAGCTTTTCTCAGGACCTTGCTACGGTTTAGCTCGGTCCAATCTCGTTATGGTTAGCACGGTCTCAGTAGGAGAAGTCGATGTACACACAATAAATGGGAGAACTGAGCTAGGTAAAGCTCGGACATTTCAGCCAGTATAGCATGGCTGTGATAGCTCGGTCATTTTGTCATACCACCGAGATAAAACCATCTCACTTGGTTTAAGCAGTGAGGGGGGTGTTGAAAGATAAGCATTATCTTTCAGGAGTGTGATTCCTAAGAGGACTCTGCATGGAGGAATAAGAGCCCTACTAGGATTGTGTCATGCAGAACCTATAAAAGCTCATAACATCGCCTATGGAGAGGTAACACAACTTTGATTCCCAAATACACAGAGCTTTTGTCTATTTGTCTATTTTGCTGACTTAGGCATCAGAGAGGTATCTGACACACACCCGCCGGCTAGCTCACGTTTTTGTTTTCAGGGAGTAAAGCGACGACGTTTGGAGGAGCGCAGGCTTGGTCAACAGGATTATACGAGAAGAATATTTCTTGCTCGTACAATTGGCGCCGTCTGTGGGAATCACAGAAAGAACAAAACCTCTTGATCAAAGTTTTTCCTCGCTAGATTAGACGCAATGGCGCACAATGAAAATTTGCCGCAGTCCGCCATTGACGGACAAACCCCAGAGGAAGGTGGGAGGCGCGAAGGTTTGCCTTCCATACCTCCCATGGCAGATTTAGAGCCCCAGCGACAGAACCCCCGGAGGGATGCAAAGGGAAGGCGGGGTAACAGCCCCCGTCGCTCATCAAGTCCTGATAGGCAGAGGTGGAGGATCGACCCTCAAGTTTTGGAGGATCGGGTAAAGGAGCAGGACGAGTTAATAAGGAAGATGGCGTCAGACATGGAGGCTATGAAACGTCAGATCAAAGGAAAAGGGGTGGCAACAAGAGAGGGACACAAAAGCAACACGCCCCCTCGCCACTCAGAAGATCGTGGTAGGCATACCACGCCATCGTAAGCAGAGAGTAGGAGCCTCAGAACAGGCGACACTTAATCAAGGACT